CAGCTCTTTGTCGGCCGACTAGCTCAGCTGGTTAGAGCGTCGTGCTAATAACGCGAAGGTCTTGGGTTCGATCCCCACGTTGGCCACTGTGGCATCCAAAGTGTCTTTTGTCAATTTTACCACCTGCACCCAAATTCTTCTAGTGCCAATCATGGGGTGGGTACAAGTGGACCATGTTCTTCATGACAACAAGAAAGGTTAACATTGACTGGCCTCCATAGCCCATGGACGCGTTATTATGGTCGTTATAGTAAGTTCTTCATCCCCATCAAGTCGCGCTCTTGCTCAGAAAGCGACCGCTCAGCAGCTTGAATGAGATTTCTCTAAGTCCACTATTAGGCAGATCTCACTATCCAGTGAGCTAGTTTTTCAGTTTTTCAAAGTTATCTCGGATATGACATGGATGCGCACTGCCATCCGTGTGGCCTTGTCTGTATATAGAACCGGCGCTCGCAACTTGTGGCCAACTTCCCTATTTGGTGATACCATTGGGATTCTATATTATAAGCAGCTCTAGGTCGACGCGCATCGACTCCTCTCCCAAACCCCTGCTGGAATTAGATGGCCTCAATAGATTCCAGCCTTCTCCGATTTATATCAAATATGCTTCATTCGGGAATACAGCGGTGTGCAAGTTGGATAATCCCCTTCGCACCTCGTTCCTATTCTTCTAACCTCCGATTCCTTTTGTAGTTTTCGCTCACGCCACATAAAATATCCCGCTCAGGACGAACCAAAACTAGATGACATGCCACGAGTGCTCGTTTCTCTCCGTCTATATCACCAGTCCATGGACCTTACTGGACTCAGGGCGCTTTACCCTGGAGAAGATCTGATTATAGCGCAATCCTTCTCCCGCATCAACCCTTCGTTTCCTATCGAATTGATAGTAGAAGTGGAAGAAGATGGGGAGAACCCTGAACTCCCTTTTCGTCTATTCGGGAACTTTCTCAGCATGCTTAGCACAGAACTCTTGGGCTTCGACTTCTGGGAGGATCTCATCATCATCTTACCCGTGTCGCGAATCCGTTTCAGCAATCCTTCTGACATCATCCTTCCCTTGATCAAGTTATATGAAGTGGATTGGCCACCCAGCACAGCTGGTCGAGTCATGGCTGCCTTTCACCCCATCCCTTCTGCAGACGATACAGACACTCGTAAATCATTTGTGACATTTCACGAGATGACTATTAGACTGCAACAAGACAATGCGCTTGCGGTGGTATCCATGCATATTTATCTAGAGGTACGCGTTTATTCCTTCTTTGTTCTTGTTCATTCACATGGCCATAAACGCGATTCAGGATACAGAGTCTGTAATAGAATGCACGGCGAACTTCGACCACGTCACCACCTGCATAGAACTTACACCCAAACTGCGAGAAATCCCCAATCTTGTCTCAATGTTCACATACACATCATCACCGGTGCCCCAGCAGCTCGTCGATACGGCGCCCTTCTCCACTTCTCGTTCGACTGCTACTTCCAAGAGCTTCTAAGGGCACGCTATAAGACCCCCATATCCAACTAATTTTGTCCTCCTGCCTAGCTTCCAGAGTTCGGGCGAGGAAACACATCGCGCAATAAATGGTCCGAGTATCGGGGACGTTACGGCTGAAAGGTTTTTTTTTGGGTGTTCAGGCACCCAGGGAGCGGGGAAAGAGGAATTCTCATGACCACATATCCTGATGTCCAATCCGCAAGGGGCTTCAAAGGCCTCCACTCTATTGGCATTGGCGCACCACTCGAGGCTCGAAAATGACCTAGCGCCACATCGGGAGGCGGACGCACAGGCACCTTGTACAGGCCGACCTAGCTCAGCTGGTTAGAGCGTCGTGCTAATAACGCGAAGGCCTTGGGTTTGATCCCCAGGTTTACCATACTGGGTACATAACATGCATTTTTGTGTACCCTTTCACCTCTCAGCTTCAGATGACCAGACGATGATGAATGTGTGGTATGTACTGTACCGATCGTTCGAAATCGGAGAAAAAGAGATACCATCTATGAGCGGTTTGAGGGATAATTTCGACGGAGAAACGGATGTATAGGAAGGAAAACTATGAAGGTAAGTGATGTATAGCACGTAGAGATTCACAATCAGGATGCGGTATTTGTAGCGCTCTTTTTTCTTTTTTTCATCACACACAGTCAGCACAAATGCCTTTCAAAAGCTGGCTCTGTTGAGAGTTCACCCAGCCAAAGCCCGGGGTAAATCTGCCAATGTAAAAAGACAATGAGAAGTTGGGGATGATTTGGAATGTGTATGTGTGTGAAGAGAGACGTATTTTCAAAGAGAAAGTATATGTGCGTGTGTTGGGGAGGCAAAATAGCTGGAAAAAAAATTCCAATATGGCCAACGTGGGGATCGAACCCAAGACCTTCGCGTTATTAGCACGACGCTCTAACCAGCTGAGCTAGTCGGCCGTGATAACTGTTGAAAGTCGAAAATCTATAGTGCACTCGAGAGATGGATCTGATTACTGATGAATCCCAAAAGTGGTAGTAGTCGGGCAAGCTTTAGCGAACGAGCTACGACATTCACGACACGATACATATCACGATAACCGCCATAGTGAAGCTCACGGCGTATGACGCCGCGTCCCTGCGCGCCATAGCACCCGAGGGGTACCCATACGGCGCTGCAAGGGTCGAGTTCCCCGTAAAGAATTCCGAGCCACTCAAGAACACCAACGCTGCCCCGGGACTCGGGACCTCAACCTCGCATCCCCCGGTACAATTCCTCTTTACAGTCTCCTGCGTCCCGATGAGATCACCATTATCCCCCACCGTCTGTCCCGCCCAAGAGATGTTCCTTCTCTCCGTCACAGACGGCGCATTGAGATACCGGATCGATATATCGTCCGAGATGTTAGCGGGGATCCGGTACACCTGCGACGCAGATTCTGCCCCGTCGGCGAAGTTGATCAGTGCAAGCTTCCCGCGCGAAGCCCCGGCGTTGTGGTAGATCCCATACGCCGCAACGGTAGCTTCGGGAGAGGCGTTGGAGTTATTGAGGTTGAGGTCGACGATTACCGTACCGGAGGGATCGGTCATCTCCGAAAGGAACAGCGCGGAGTAGTAGACGGCACCTGTGACCCATCCCAGGGAAGTGGACGTGTCGACCGTCGGGGGATCGAAGAGATTGTACGTGACGCCGTATTCGCGGGTATGGATGTATATAGCAGAGTAATTGACGCTCGCAGCTTTCAGCCCGACGTCGACTGTCCACAGACTGGCGGCGAACTGGTATAGATTGGCTTTGAGCATAGGAATAGTCTGTGAAATGGAGTGAACTTACGGTAGATGAAATATTGGAACCACCGCAAGCGACGGTATTATATTCGGTCATTAGAACAGGGACATTCAGCTTTTGAGCCTTCGCAATTCCTTCCTGCTGCCAATTAAGATAAGGAGCGACTATAAAGCGGTCAGGAAGGCCTGGTTGTGTGAGTTGAGTAGATCTTCACTCGCCATTTTGATGAGACAGGTAGTACGAAATATTGGTGTTCTCCGGGGTCGGGCCACCACAATTATGTTGTGGGTATCGTTGCATGCTATGCAAGTTATACGAATTTAAAAGCCGAATGCCAGTATGAGACGGATTCGAACTCACGTATAATATTTGTATGGATAATTGTCTAGTCCAGCATCGAGTATTGTAGAAAGATTCCTGAGCTACAGTCAGAGGAATTGCTTGTGGCAAAACAAGTCAGCTCACCATCCACAGCAGATAGTAGGCCCGCCTATTAATGTTTTTTCTAGGTCTCCAGCTTTGCGAATATCGTCAATGACTTGGCCGATCTCAGAAACCTTTGTCGATATTGACTTCTAGGGAGCGAATTGGGACGCAAAAAATAGACGCACGTATGTAGGTATATCATAAGTACCTCGTTCGCCGTGACCGGCGTATAAATCGGGCTCCTGCAACGAAATGACTTAGAAGCTATGCCAACGAACAAGTAAAAGTACATACATTTCCTAGAAGGAAAGCATCCAATCGATTGCCAAGCCGCTCTTCAGCAGCAGCCGCAAGCAACACCACATTGCTGGTATCTTCAGGCTTCCGCATGCTCAAGCCGATAATGAACTGCATGGCGCCTACGGTATCATACATCTTGTTCATAACATCAAACATAATGGGTCCAAAGTTGACCGGGATGTCGTTAAAGTACGCATTTGGATCCGTGAACTGCAAGAATGTCTTGAGATTTGGAACATACGTAGATCTGTGGGCGACTATCAACACCGCATTTTGAAGTCGTGGCAAAGCAAAAAGGCGTACCCGTCCATCCCGTTCCCGCCTACGCGTATTCTGAGGGGTTTGGATATTCTGGTGATGATGTTGTGTAGATAGTTTTGCATTGCATGTGGTACGGTATCGACGGTTTTACCCCCTAGATTGAAGAGAAATTTCGAACATGGAAATAGAACGTGAATTGTGGGCCCTTACAGAGAGTATCGAACGAGCTAAGCTCCCATGATATTCCGAGGAAGTTGTCGTCCACAACATTGCCTAGTGAGCTCACTGGTGGTTGTTCGGGGAAGGTGAGATTCAGAGGTTTTCCTGCCCTAGTGGTGTAGGAGAAAGATATGAGGACAACGAGCGACAATAAATGGAACAGCATAGCAGTGATATTCAACGTTTCATCCCTTGAATGGAGGACAGAAGTTAACGAGATTGAGCGCCGAGAACCGAGCCGCATCATCGAGGTTGCTGGTTGCCAACAAATGTCGACAGGTCTGGTAGTTGTCCGTGACAGCAGTGGAGCTGCAGAAGGCCGTTTCATTTGAACCTCTTCTGAAAGTCTTTGGTCAGATTTCGCCTATGCGCATCATCATATCATGCGATATAGGTTGCGCACTGCGCAGTCACATAGTATGTACGTGAGTTTGACGAGCCAGCCGAGTGCCCTAGCCGTGGTCTGATGTGATTAGAATGTAATGTTTTCTCAGGGATGCTGCGTTTGGGGAGGCGTCCGATCGTCGCTGAGTTGGCAGCTCCATACTTATGTTTTTGATTTTGAGCGCTGATATAGGCTGATATTGACTGATATTTCCTGCCCTGATACTTGAGATGGCGGCACATTGCTGTCAGAATTAGAAGGAGAGAAGAACATGTTAGGAATGTACCGTGGGCCTCACTTTTCAGGCATTAATGGTTCTGCACGGCCGTTAGCAAGTGAATTCAGCTTTTTGGTAGAATAAATTGTTCAAAAGAGCGCGAGAGTTGAAAACATGTCAATGTGTAGGTGTCAGTATCATGGGGTTGTTACGGATCTAAAAGCGGAACCAAATGAGAAGCCGGAATTGCTCACGGTTTATTGCGTTGTTGACGCATTGTTTCTACTCCACGTGGACAACACGTCATTGAGGCATGTTGTAGGTAGTTGACTAACATAATGTTCACTGCACATTGACCGCAGACAACCCTCATGAATGGCCCTGAGGCACAAGACAGCCTGTTCCAAGACGACGAAAATGTACACAGTAGACCTGAAAACGTCCCAGAATCACTCGTTCGCGCCACATTGCGACTTCAGTTTCCTCCAACATACGTTGTAGTGGGAATGTATCGGTTCTTCACCGACAGATCGTTGTATCTTCCAGCCTGGGACAAATGTAGACACGCAACACGAAGAGGTGCAGTCGTTGGTGCTTTATGGGTAAGTGAATTTCTTACAATTTTACCAGTTATACTGAGTACGAGCTCATGTCAGGCGTTGCTGACCTTTGGTATTCAACGGAAGTTTATTGAGATCTTTCTTGCAAAGCGAGCGAAAACTCTCTGTCTTTGAGTTGAAACTAAATCCTCTCACAGTTCACCTCGTGTCACCGGCCTTTCGGGTTCGACAATCTTCGGGTACACTCCTCCCTTCAAACTACATACATGTACATGAGCCTCTATCTACCTCAATCAACGCTAACGACGCTTTCAGATGCAGCAGTTCTCCTCCTTGGCTCGCAAATAACAAATATCCTTCGATTTTTCCTCGCTCGCAACATCAACATCGCACGCGACCGTGCGTGGAATCAAACCGTCATCTCGCGAGGAAAAGGGGTCGACTTCTGGCAGCCATATGTGGAAGAGTGGGACATGCCACCCGTAGTTCTTTCCGAGCCCAAGTGGGAGATCTTCGTCAAACGCTGGTTTGGTGGGTGGATTGGGCTGTTCATTGTTCGACGGGGTACGTGTGTTAACTGGCGCGATGTTTCGGTTGTGCTAAATGGTGGTTTCAGTGATCCTGCTTCCGTTCAACTTTTACCCGTTCATGGGGATACTTGTGTCTGCTGCATTCAAGGCACTACGCACAGCACGTAACCTTCATCGTCCAGTAAGCACTCACCCGTCTATTCTATACCTTCATCTGATGTTTTATCCAAGTACTTTGAATCAAAGAAAATGACCGAGCAACAGATTGCGGTCTTCATGGAAGAACGAAAATGGGACTATAGACGTGTGCATCAACTTTTCTTTCCTTCATCTCCTCTCACCCTGGCTTGCTAGAATTCGGCTTCGCGGCTGCCCTGCTGGAAGGACTTCCAATCGTTGGGCTCATATTCACGATCTCAAACAGAGTTGGGGCTGCTATGTGGGCTCATGGTGAGCTTGAGCGTTGTTTCAACCTTTTGATTGCTATGACCTTGCCGTAGATCTGGAAAAACGCCAGCATTTCATTGCGACGGAGAAACAGAAAAACAACCACTAGAAGTATGCCCGCTGATCTCTGGTCAACGAAGTTTCGCTTGGAGCATTTGATTTCAGCGTCAGGTGGGGGAGCCTGGAGATTTAAACACATGGTACCTTATTTTTTCAAGCTACAGAGTATTCCAGACATACTGGAATCGCCACACACTTGCCAGTCATAACCTTCAAATG